CTCTGCCCTTTACGTATTTTGAGTAGTTGGCCAAAGGCGTCCTCTGCCTTGGCTGGTGTATGGATACATATGCAAGTTGGAGGAATTAGCATTGGAGGTCCACTTGGCTGTTGGTCATGCAGACTCCCCTGAAACCTTTGAGAGTGAGGAGTGAGCTGCTTACGGAGTATAAAGAACAGAGTAAAGGTCTTCACCATGTGTGAAGAAAGGGAGCTTGCTGCATTCAGAAACGCACTGATTTTTAGAGATTCCTTTCTAGATTATATCTGTCACCTTTGCATTTTGCTCAGACACCTAAGCTGAGATCTATGTGAAATTAAAATGCTGATATCTAAACCTACGATCTCCCTCACTGTCACCCCTAGCCCTTTGGTCGTTGGTGTCTAAAATTCCGTAGCAAGATTTGCTCGGTGCCTAGAGCATGCAGGTATGGCGTATACTGCTATCTTATCTGAGTGCAAGTTGAGGATTTGCAGACTGGGTCTCCTTAGAGGAACCCACGCTATAAGGTGTGACATGAGTACAGCCTTGCAGCATGGAGTTAAAAGTAAATCACGGCATTAATTGTTGTCTCTAAGGGGAAAAAAACACCCAAACTTTAATTTAATAGCTTAGCAGTTAGCCCTGTTGGCCGCTGAGTTGAGGACCAGAATTCAATTTGCTGTAGCTGTTTGCCTGCACAAGCATGCCCTGACAATGATGGTAGAGCTCAAGCTGGAAAGGAGGCAGGAGGGGAGAGAGCTCAACCCCTTCTCCTGAAGTTGAGATAGTCTTTACAGGTAACTCCAAGATTTATGGAGCGGTAAAGAATATGATCAGTGAAGAGGACAGTCAGCTGGATTGCTCTTTGCAGGAGTAACTTAACCATCAAATTAAACAAAAGTTCCCTAATAGTTTGAACATAAGCTACATTGCTTATGTAATGGCCTAAATTGCCCATGTAGGATCATCCTCAAATCAGCCAGATGGGAACAAAGATTCATGAAGAACAGAGAGAAAATAGGAAACATTTTGTCTTGGCTGATGGGCGCGACCTTCTCATTGAAGGTGAGGGCTGTCCAACTGTGGTCATTTTCATAGTGGCATGGTAGAGCAGAGGGCAAGTTGTGTGAGTGATTCAGACTGAAATTGTTTTCTTATGCCCCCACCCTTCCCTCTCCCAAAAGGTGAGTATGAAGGTAGCAGGTATTCTAATGACTCTTAACAGTCTGTAGCCCGAAAGAAGAAATCCTTGTTATTAAAAATAGAGCAGAAATACTTGCAGGCATTGCATGTCATGCAGGCTTCAGTTTTCCCATTGTCATCTTTGTAAAATATTTTGAGAGTAACTCAAAAAAGACATTACAGAAGAGGTGAATATTTACTATTTATTCCAACTTTGATTAGGAAAGAGTTAGTGCTCCTTCTATAACTTTTACATAACTGTCCTAATGTTTATATGCTGTACTAAGCTAACGTCTGTGTATTTTTTAATGGATATATTTATGCAAAAGATTTAAAAGTAGTGTAAGTGAATCTGTTTATCTTTGAAAACATGGAGATCTTCTGCTCTATCTCTTGGAGCTGGTTGGAAAAATCAAATTTTTGCTACAGTCTTAAAAATAACATTCAGTAGCCTAGACAGAATTAAATATTAGCTGGCAGTCATTAGTTATTTTCTTCATAATGAAAAAGGATCTAAGTAGAGTTAGCAGTGCATTAAATACCTTTCTAGTACATAAATGATTTAAGAATACCTGACAGATTTTAAATGCGCACTGACATTCCCCTTGCACATAGACATGTAATACCTATGCTAAAGAGGCTGGATTAGAAAAGACTGGTAGAGAAACAATGAAATAGCATAAAAATGAGAGGAAACAGTGACAAAAAAAAAAAGCTATTTGAAGCAGATTTATCCAAGTGAGGGGCTCTGGGTTACAAAGTACCAAGCACTGTCTGTTTCTGCACTTTGACAGCAGGCTTTTTCTCAGCTGTGAAACTGATACTGTTACTATGAAATTAATTACCAATGGTCAGCAGCTCTTCAGAAGTTCAGTCAACACAACCTACTGGAGTAACACAAATAGGATGAGAAAAAGAATTAGTAAGTAGAAGGGCCAAAAGGAAACGTGCATAGCAAGTGTTTTGGAAGTCTTCCCAATCCAGAGAAATAGGCTCCTAACTGCTTTAGTTAAATTTAGTACAGTTTTCTCCTGTAGGGAAGCAATATTGACATTTGTGCCCAAGGATCCTGGTATAATTTAGAAGCATTAATCACTGTATCTGATATGTAAGATGTTGCTTGAGAGAAAGGGGAATTAATCTATCCTCCTTCTGCAGTGTAGATTGGGTACAACTCAGCAGAGGAGGTTTAAGGCAGATGTTTGGAAAAGAGCTTTCTAATAGTGAGGATGGTGAAACACTAAATCAGCTCACCTGTGAGGGTTGCAGAGCAGACTAGATCAATGATTGACAATTTTTTTTTTTTATTTGTAGACCCTTTTTACAAGTTTTCCCATGAAGACATACCCTTTACAGTCAAGTTTGCTGACAACAAAGTTGCTTTTTGAAGTTACTGTCCCCCTAAGCATCATAGTCCCTGAACCACAAAAACCACTGGCATAGATTTTCTATGACTCAGTACCTCCTTTGAAGTAATGGTAAGTAGAGGCAGAAGCTCCATTTAATGCCTAAGTAAGCGGGCATGGCATCGCTGCAGCTGAGCTATCCCTCTGACTTGTAGTGCAGTCACGTAAGTTTTGTTGAAGCAGAATTTGGCTTTAAATGACCTGTGAGTAATGCAGGACGCCTGTGTGAGGACTGATAGGGAACCTGGCTGTGCTCATGCTTTAACCCGTAACGTTTTCCCCTGTGAAAGAGTTGTAGTGAAGGAGCTCTAGATCCTGTCTTTGGTAATGATAAAGCTGAATTTTGCACAGAAATCTGCTTGAGTCTTGCTGGGATGGAGGCGAGCCTGGATGATAACCTGTAGCCTGACGGGTGCAGATCACAAATTACACTGGGGTTGAAGTGACAGACAACAGGGGGAGGAAAAAAGCTTACTGTGTGTGGCAGCCAGGTTTGCATTTGCTGAGAGCTTTGAATCCCAAATAAAAATGCATCAACATCATGCTGCAAAAACACCGGGATGGTTGTTCCAGCCTGGAAGTCTTTTCACTGTAGGAAGTATGGCCATGTTTCCTTCTGTCTGTCATTTGCCTTTATTCCCCTTGGGCTTTTATATTTTGTTACCGGCTTGGTATCTTCCCTATCCATCAGTCCGGCGCATCCCATTAAGCAGCTTTTCTTGATTGACTAATGAGATGCTATTTTTGGTAATGCTTTTATCACTCTCTCTTATTGCCCAGCTACATTTTCTGCATTTTTTCTTGTTACTCTTTAGTGGTTCCTCTATTGCTACGCTGTTTACTGTTCTGTGCCCATCACCTCACTGGGATTTCTTTGGTCAGTTGTTACTCCTCTCTCCTGTCATTTCCTTGCCCACTCCTTCCCAATTGTGTCCGTCCCCCCCGCCCCGCTTCATTTGGGTTTGTTCTACCAGTACCAGAGTCCTCTTCTCATCTTCCCCCATCCAGTACCTCACTCCTATGCCCAAGACCACCTTTCAGATAATCAAAAAGTAAATCAAGGACAAAAGCATTCCCAGAGGGAGATTCATCCTACCTTAAGACAGCTGTCTGTGCCAGGCAGAATGAATCACGTCAGTAGGTTCCTATCTCTGTTTGTTAACTGTAGAAGTCTAACTAGGATAGACCAGATGCCTTACTTGCAGAGAGTTAAGCGTGAGTAAGATGAATACCATTCATATGAGCTACCAGGACTTAAAATGCTGGGTATTAAGCCAGCATGTGCTGCTGCACATTAGAATGACAGAGAAGAGTAATTTAGGAAGCTGTTTGTAAGTTATAGGATTCTGGCAGTTGTTTAACCCACAGCAATAACGCTATTTAGAATTAACATGTTTTTGAATCACCTTTTTGTGTCCCAATGATTAGCAGCACCAAATTCCAGATGCAGGCTGGCCTTTTAATCCAGATAATAGCTTTCTCCCCATCATACATAAATGCAGCCTTAACACATCAGTATGTTAACTGCAGTAATGCTATTCTTGGAAGATTAAAAGAAATATTCCTACTTTCATCTGCTTAGCATATCCTGAGGCTGTAAGGTATTTCAGAATTAGCATAAATACCGGTCTAGATGTGCTCTTTCAGCTTTTACTTAAAAGGGATTGCTGTATTCTTGACACCTGCTTATTTCATTCTCCAAAAATGTAACTTGTGAGAATACGGCAAGTAACCCAAGGACAAAATAGAGAGCTCTGCAAAGGGTTACTTACTTCCTGCTGATGTTTTGACTTAACTCACAGACACCGAGATGGACCCAAGACTGTAATAATTAAAACTTCTTGGGTCTTTTCCTGTTGGTTTCATGAGGTCAGTGAGATACTTTTCATTGAAAGGATTTTCCTACGCATTGTGTATGGTAAAACATTCATGTAAATCGGTCTGATTCTGCTAGCATGAGTGCTATGGCTGCTATTGACCCAATTCAGAAGTCTTGTGTGACCTGGCTCGTTTTGCAGTACGGCTGCCCAAATGCTTACTGTGAGAAAAGGCAGGGTATGGGCTTACCATGCATTAGCTACTCTTGTAGTTAGAGCCCGCCTGCCCCATCTTGCGGCACTTTACATTTGCCATGGGTACAGGCACTTGGCACAGAGTAGCTAAAATGCTATAAACCAGTACACTAGTAATTTGTTCAGGTGTCCATACCCTCCAGAAGGTATTAATAGCAACACAAATCGTTAGTGGGCATCTCTGTTCGTCTGGTGGTTAGTACTGGTGTTGCACAGTTGGGTGTATGTGGCTTGATTGTGCCCTTGGAAACATGTTGCAGGCTTGCCTGCGTAGACGAGCCCAACAGGATGATGCTCTATGTCCATGTCTGATGTGTTGGGATGTCAATATAAATACACCGTTAGGCAAAGTTGCGAAATGGACGTATCGTTAAAACCAGAGCCAGAAGATCTTCATGAGAAGGTTTGACTGATTTCCATATCCAAATAGTTGATTTCTAGCTCTGCATTTCCTAAATGGAGGAGTGGGAGAGATTGGAAAATATAATCTTAAGCAGGAAGAAGAGACAAACATGTTTAACAATAACCTGTAGAAAGATTTCATAGCAGTCTCTCACTGACTGGCTGCAACAGTTATTAGGGTGGAAGTGAGAAAATTTTGCTAGGCACCCATCCCTGGAAACATTCAAGGCCAGGTTGGATGGGGCTCTGAGCAACCTGATCTAGTTGGCGGTGTCCCTGCTGACTGCAGGGGGGTTGGACTCGATGACCTCTAGTGGTCCCCTCCAACCCAAAACATTCTATGATTCTATGATTCTATAAGTGAGAAAATTTTGCTAGGCAAATTTAAAGACAAACAAAGAATTGGAGGGAGGAAAGGTACATGCCTCTCTCCTGTGTGTATGTACATATTTGCGGATTTTTAAATATGTATTTTATGCTTTCCCTATGTGGAAGTTCTCCTAAGAACCTGCTAATGTTTCAAGCTTAGAAATGTGAGCCAGAGTCTTTGTGACGTCTTTGTTTTTTCTGGTGCATCTCCTGGGAGTCTAGATGATACGCATGATAAATCTTTCACCTTGGCAGAAAGAGAGGGAAGTGTTTAATATTTAACCAAGGTTGTCTTTTACTTCAACATCTATCGATAGGGGACTGCAGTTACAAATATGTAAAACTGTGTTTGTTTTTGCTAAGAGGAGTGCTTGGAAGGAGAAAGGGATAACCTTTCCCTAAGGATTAGGCCTCAACTACAATAGAAGATGAGTTTGTTTTAAAAATTGATCAAATTAAACCCACGTTACACTGAAATAGTTTTATACTTGCTTAAAGAGGACCATATTTAAGCACAGTAGTTAAAACAGTGGCTTTTGAAATGGTGTGGTTAAATTGTGCAAGTTGTTGTGTCCATGCACTCATCTTCTCAAGTTCTCGTGCCAGACTGTCAGTGATTTTTCCCACGGGGAGCAGTGCGTCAGGGTTCATGTCACATTATCTCCTGTTTACTGAAGAAAATGGTCTACTAACCACTGAACTGAATTCACTGACTCCCAGTCATGCACGTTTTTTCCTAAAGAAAGAGTAGGTTTTTTAGTATCTATAGATTCCTCTAGGTTAGATGAGGACCACATTTCCAGAATTGCATTTAGTTACGTTTGTATTGGGAAGAACTCCCGTTACTGGTAGCAAACTAGCAGAAGCATCCTGCCCGACCTGCTTTCTGTCCTTCTCAGAAGATTACTAGAGCTTCTCAAGGAGAAAATGTAGAAGTTAAAAAGGCTTAGCCCATACTTAATACTTTTTTGTGAGCTTTTAGTAGATCTGAGCTGCATCTATTGTACAAACCTGGTATGTTGCAGGTAGGGGAAGAGTTGTGTGTCACAATTTCCTGTACTCAGTCTATTTGTTGGCAGTCACAAACTAATTGTGCTTGTCTTAATGAAGTGTGTATTTATTAATCATTATTACAATATTCTCTCTTGCTGGGCTTGTACAATACCTCAGCAATGTATAGAAATAATACTACTGGAAGGATGCTATAGTCTTGCAGATAAAAAAGATCTGCTACACCTTTGAAAACCCAAACAAGAAATCAAATGCTGGGTTTTTTCATGGCTTTAAAAATTTTTGTTATAAAAAAATAGTACGAATAGGATATTTTCAGTAGATTTGAGGTGCCTCTGGGCTAGAAAGCTGGAGATTTCACAGAAGACGCGTGGGCACATGCAGCTTTCAAATACTTACTCTGTTGGGCTGAAATCTGTAAGCTAGAATTGCTTTTAAATACCTAGTCTTGATGATTAATGTGTAGCCTTTCCACCACCACTTGCAAAAAAAAAAAAAAAAAGCCTACTAGGAAAACGTGCATGCAGTCATGCTGTGCCTGCCTCTTGCAGATGCGTACTACCCGCAAAGTGTCGGTATGGCCCGTGGGACTGGTGGGAGGACGACGGTATGAGCGCCCAGTCGTGGAAAACGGCAAAGTTGTTGGCTGGTACACTGGCTGGAGAGCTGACAGACCCTTTGCTATTGACATGGCAGGTAAGTCCCAAGTTTCACGATACATGAATGTTTCTCATAATAACTTAATAACTCTTTTTTTTTTTTTTTTTTTTTTTTTTTTTTTTTTTTAAATGAGTGGGACAGAAACAGATGTCTTGGTGTAAGCAGCTTTTAAAACTTCTGAAGTGCAGCTGCTGTATGCAGCCCCTTCAGCACTAAATATCCTGGAAGTCTTAGCTTGCACATCTCGTCTAATTAAGTTGCTGCTTGGTGATATCTGAACTTACTTTCACTTGGTTTTCATTTTATGCGGCAACTTGGCTTTTATGTTGTATAAATTGTTTGTCTGAAACAAGTTAATTGTAAATTAATTCATCCAATTAATTTTTGCAAGGAGCCCCTGCCTTTCATTGTGTCATCAATCTACACCAGGCAGTGTAAATGTAGACCCTTCTTAGACCTCATGTTGTAAAATGCTACTCTGTCATGAAATTATTCATTTTTTATTGGTTATTTGGAGTGATGGTGATAACTGTAGATGGATATAGCTTGAAACACTGGGCTTAGGAGAAAAATCACTGACAGCTATAGCCTGGTAGATGAAGGCAGAAAGGCTTCATAATGGATCTAATCAATCTTTTGCTATGAAGTTAGCACACCACATAGCTCTGTCTTGCTGTCAGTCCATGCTTAGACAATCTTTTGTATATATTCACAACTGCCACATGAATCACCGCTGCGCAGAAGTCCGATTTCTGATGTAGCAGCAGCTGGTTCCCCAGAAAATGATACCATATTTGCACTTAAGCATCTTTTGTATTCAGGAAGGAGAGGGAACGGGAAAAGTAAGAATACAAGGGCAAGAACGGGGTAGAAATAGCCAGCCATTTTCTTTTTTCCGATACCCTTATGTTCTGGGAGAGGGAAAAGGACAGTGCTTTCTCAACAGAGTGTTTTTATATGGATTGAAATCTTGGATGAAAAACATGCACAGTATTTACAGGACAATTGGTTAAAAAGAGTAAAGGAGAACTAATAGCTGTTAACACCTCAAAGACAGAAACATCGAGAGGTGAATTCTTCTGCACTGTAGAAGCATTTCAAGTTAATAGTATCACCTGGCATGAAAATAAATATTTGAGTGTCCAGGCAGAGGCATTGCTCAGGGGAGAAGTAGGTATGTCAATCCCCAAACCTGTGCAGCCTGTTGAGGACTGCAGCTGTGCATTTTAACAGTCTCTGCCTGTGGGTTTATAGATACATATGGATACTATGCTGTAGAAGTGGTTACTTGTGGGCATTATAAAGATGATAACATCTTTCATAATTCATTAGCAGCAGGCAAAAAGCCATTACACAGCATTGGCCAGGGGACTTTAACCCAGACATGAAGAGATACATGGAAAGTTCTTAAGTTGTTGTTTATACTTTGCAGTTGCTGGCTGAAACACTAGCATGAGGGAAAAGCAGCTCCGTTAGGAGCATTACCTGCTCCTACTTTTAGCGAAGTCACAGAAGGGAGGGTTATAGAGACAAAGATACAAGCGTTGAGAGTATAGGAAGTTATTGCAGATCTACAAACAAGGAATTACTGCTTTGTGAGAGAACTCTTATTAGTCTTCAAAAAATAACGTCAGAAGTTAAATTACATGTTTAATTTCAGCAAGGAGAGAAACGGATGCTGTGTAGGCGTGTAAAAAATTACGTTAAGTTCGCATCTTCGTTCCCCTCAGGAATACGGTGGAAGGGCACAGGCAAACAGAACCGCACCTGTAATTCCAGAACTGTGTAGGTGTCCGAACGGGTGCAGTCCACAGGATGCGTGTTAACACTCAGTTTTCCACCCTTCCCCCCCGCCCCCAACTCCCCAGCATACCCCTGGGGACTTGGAAGACTTGCTAACAAACCGAAGTCCGTGCTTTAGTACTTCACTGGCATCACTGGCATTCCTCCATCTGCTGGCACCAAATACACAGGCACCTTGGGTTATACCATATACTGCACATAAGTAAGATCGAGGATTCCTTTTGAAAACATTACTATGAGACAAAAAAATAGATGCATATATTAAACTGCTCAGCTGTCTACAGTAGTTTATAATTAATGTGCTGATTCCCAAGGCACTGTTAAGGAGGTTCTCTTTGGTTTACAGAAGTATCTTTTTGTAGTGATTTTCACAAGAACTTGATCATGAGGCTGGGTGTGAAAAGAATGACTGCTTAAAAGGTTTGGGACCACTGACTTAACTTGTGGCTGTTCAGAAGAAGCACATCCTTGCTTTGAAGTACATAAACTTCTTATTCTGGACCTCAAAATACAGGGCCAAATTCAAACCTACTGTGAGTGGAGGCAGGTCCTGCTGATTTAATTGGGATCAGCTCAAAGACCCTTGCTGGCCAACTTCCCTAGATTCTTCTTTGAAATACACTCACGCATGGCAATCACATTAGATCAGTTCAGTAAACATTGGTTATTTGTTTTGAGAAGTTTGTGGTTGACACTGCTATTCTCCAATGCTAACTTGCATTCAGAAAGCAGAATAGCAATTTCCTGTGTTGCTTCTTGTCTGGCAACCAACAAACCGAATGAGTTAGTTCTGGTGTTTTTTAAGTTAAGTTCTGCCTCAAGTTTTAACTGTAGGTGGGTTCTAGAGTTTGACACAGACTTCCTTACCCTCAGGGAAGAAAAGCGAGAGAGAATTGGGTGTTCTAAGGGAAAAGTGACGTTGATTCTGAGGTAGGTATTGTGCTGTTTATTATAGACCTGATTTTAAAATCTTCTGTATTAAATGATGCTGTTAGTGATTTACTTTTGGCTTGTTCCCAGCGTCAGAATTTTTGACCTCCCATGAGAACAAGTTAGATTGTGATTCTCTTCATGTCATGATTGTTCAAGGAAAACAGGTGCATGCTTTCCATTAGCATTCCAGGAGCTACTTGTCATAGAGATTGGTCCGTGGGCAGCACATGAATCACTGGGCAAGCAGATTTTGGACTTGTGATCCCAGAGCTCATCCACTGTGCCCTAAGTTCCTCTGCTAGGGCTTGAGCAATCACCTTTTTTTTTTTTTTTTTTTTAATTATTTTGCTGTGATTATGAGATCTTTAGTTGATCTCATCTTTCTTACGGTTCCCTGAGAAAAAAGCCTTTCTGTTAATGACACTGCAAAACATGGCGTATTTTGCCTGAGTCTGAAAGAGTCACTGCTGGAAGTCACAAGTACAAACAAAAAAATTTTAACTGGGTGGCTATGGCAGACACCACACTAAAAAAGAAACCCAGCAAAAAACCAAAACCCCAAACCACCCCTCCATCAAAGGGCAATGACTACTTTAAATGTTGAGTTTAAAATGGAGAACCATTTTCATGGTGAATTAAGTCAGCAAATGCCTTCACTGTGAAAAATCTCCTGGCTGAGCACCTCTGCCTTAGTGCAACCCAAGCAGGATGTCACAAGGAGATGACCTGAAGGCAGCAGACCCCAAGCCATGTTCGACAAGCCAAAGGTAGTACCTTGACCTGTGTGGAAACCAGTATGTCCATTTCAACAATGTGCCCAGGTGGCCAAGAGGACCAACAGCATCCTGGCTTGGATCAGGAATAGTGTGGGCTATATCAGGAATAGCAGGAACAGGGAAGTGATCGTGGCCCTGTACTCAGCACTGGCAAGGCTGCACCTTGAATACTGTGTTCAGGTTTGGGTCCCTCACTAGAGGAGAGATGTTGCGTTGCTGGAACATGTCCAGAGGAGAGCAACAAAGCTGGTGAGGGGTCTGGAGCAAAAGTCTTACAAGGAGCAGCTGAGGGAACTGGGGTTGTTTAGTTTGGAGAAAAGGAGGCTGAGGGGAGACGTGATCGCCCTCTACAACTGCCTGAAAGGAGGCTGTAGGGAGGTGGGTGTTGGTCTCTTCTCCTGGGTAACAGGCGATAGGATGAGGGGAAATTGCCTCAGGTTGTGCCAGGGGAGGTTTCGATTGGACGTTAGGAAAAATTTCTTCAATGAAAGGGTTGTCAGGCACTGGAACAGGCTGCCCAGGGAAGTGGTTGAGTCCCCATCCCTGGAGACATTTAAAAGCTGGGCAGATGAGGTGCTTGGGGACATGGTTTAGTGGTGGGAGGGCAAGGTTAGGTTAACAGTTGGACTTGATGATCTTAAAGGTCTTTTCCAACCTAAATGATTCTATGATTCTAACATCAGCACTGAGCATTAGCATTTATACACTCCGGACATGATAAACACTCCCAGTTCCTAGCTTGCCTTCAGCTGCTATCCTATCTAGAGCATTCAGGAAGCAAAGGCATAAATCACAGCAACAAAAATCTTTAAGGACCGTCTCAGTCTAACCAGATGAAGAAAAATGGTTCTGCCTTTTAACAGAAGCCATAGATCTACCACAAGTCACGGTGTGAATTCACAGAAACGGCTTCTGTAGAAAGAAGCACAGATGTAATCTTTGCCATGTCTCCTAGGTATCTTGTCCTCCAACAAATTAATTCTTATCCAGGTGGCTCTTTAGCCAATTAGATTTAATTTACAGCCTTGCATTAAACACGAAAAACCCCACCCCAAAAATGCTTCCTCACACTCTGGCTATGAAATTGTCCTGTGGCATTTCATGTGAACTTAAGCTCAGTATGACCTTGTAGGAATAGTGACCAAGTAAAAGGATTGTACGAGTGTAGCACCGTTCTGTTATGCCTCGCTGGAGACAGTAATCCCAGATTAATCCCTCTTTGCGGATAGACTTCAAAATAACAGTGCCTTTCCATTTATTACCACAGGATCATTATCTACTGAGAGAAATAACTAGTGCCAGTCTGGTCAAAAGCTGAGCCATCTCCTCTTTGATGCCAAAATGATCTGTCTGTGATTAAAAAGTTAACCGAAAGTTGTTACTAGAAAATGGTTTTCCCTCAAATCCATCTGCAGTCTATCTCCATAAATACAAAATGTCATACATGTGCAATTAAAGTAGCTACAAAGCACAGCTGAAGAACTAGAGAGCCAGGAGATAAGGCTTTGGGAATTATTTTATCTCTTCAAGTTGCTGCTTTATTGGATTATTTTAAGAAGCAAAGAGTGCATGACCACTAATCAAGGAAACAAACCTCAGGCCTCAAGCCGGTCAGTCTACAGCAGTCCATGCCCTTGCCATGTACAACAGTCAGTTTAATTTGACTTTTGCTGCCTGAAAACATGGGGGCAGGGGGTTGATAGCACCCTGAAATGGTGGTTTTGCCAGAGCATGGTAGCAAGGGCACATGTTACATGCAGGGGGCGTGGCACATCTGAAGATCTGTGCGTAGGAGAAACCCATCCTGAGAACTGAATCCAGTTTTCTCAACAGAGGAGCAAGCTTTGCAACAAGAGAGCCTAGAAGAAATTCATGGCTATGGGGGCCAGGGAGCCAAGCTGAGATACGCAAAGCTATGCAGTAGAAAGTATGTCTCTCCTGCTTAGAATGGACTCCTTCTCCACTCTAAAAACTAGGACACTAGTCTAATTTTGGTTTTTACTTCATTTTCTTTTCCATGGATGACCGGCTTAAATCGTAAAAAATAAATTTTAAATCTTTTTAAAAAGAAATAGCAAACAGCAGCTCACAAAGCTGTTTGGGACTCCAACAATGCTTTCCCTTGTAAAGTTTGGGTTCTTTTTTTTTTTTTTTTTTGTGCCCAGAATGTCAAGCACACTAAACTAAAGCCCAGTTGCTCCAAAACTTTATATTGGTTCTTCTAATTTAGAAGAAAAAAAAAAAAAAAAAAGAACTAAACCTAACTGAAAATACTGAACTGCACCAGGCCGGCTTGTTCATCAGCGGTAAGTCTATGGCTGTCGTTCGAGGTGCAGAAAGCTGGCTGTGTGCGCTGCAGCTGTCCCTTGTAGGAGGAGCTTAAGAGCTCCGCTTTGGCTCTTCACAGACGCTTACGCTTGGCTACAAACAGCACGGGGAGGGAGCCCACCTTGTGCTCCCTTGCAGTGGGGCTATGAGGTGGAGGAAGCAGGAGACAAAGCCCTGCCTGGGAGGAGAAGTGCAAGCGGCCATTCTGCTGCCTGGTACCCCCTGCCCAAACCCAGCAGCTGCAGCAGAGAACAGCTGGATCCCAGCACCGCTGCTAGCAGGTGCTGCAGGCTGCAGAGCGGGAGCTGCGGGGCTTAACCTAACCGCACAGAGCGAGGACAGGCTGCAGCCAAAGTCTCACGCCTCCCGGAGGCCTTTTATTCACTGAAGTACGCTGCAAGGCGTGGATTGTAGAATCATAGAATAGAATGTTTGGGGTTGGAAGGGACCTTTAGAGGTCATCTAGTCCACCCCCCCCCTTCAGTGAGCAGGGACATCTTTAACTAGATCAGGATAAGCCCTTTCCATCTAGACACCTATTCTTCTTTATCTTAAGGCAGGATAAAACGTGTAAAGTTCAACATGTTTTCTTCAACCATGGTGAATTGGGAACCTCAGTTTACATCCAACCCATAGTCTTCATCTCAGTGTCCAAATCCTTATTTAAAAAAAAAAAAAACCAACCCACTTTCTGGTGACTTCCAGTGCTTTTCTACAAGCAAGAGCATGATAGTTAAGGCAAAAGTGGTTTGCAGTGTGCTGCCTGTACATGCGATGTAGTAATTACTTCCTTGTATCTTCCCCTTTAACAGGCTCCCGTAAAAGCCACAGCTACTTTCAAGGAAAATTCAGTAGCAAGCTAATTCTAATGAAAAAGGGGACAGATTTATATTCCATTAGAGAAAGTTATACTCATTTAAAAATGAGAAAATTTTAATAGTGGCTTTAGAATTAAATGTTCTTGCAGTTTTCTAGAACAGACATCGAAACTGTTACTACTCCATAACGGGACGGCTGAACTGATGAAAAAAGGGTTTCTGTGGCAGGCTTGGCAATTAGACGTAAGGAGTTACAAATGTGATTTTTCTTTACAAGCGTATCGGTCGAGTTTTGAGTCATCCTAAAAGCAGCATACATGCGCCTGAACCTTGCTGAATGAAAGCTGGAATGTTCTATAAATAACGGCAGTTGGAGATTCACGAGAGCTGCTTCGGAGAGGGCGAGTTAGTTTGTTCAAAACAGCGATTTCCCAGTTTGTAATCTCCCCTTGAGGGCCCAAATGTATGTTATTAGAGGAACGCACGGCAAAGAGAGGCATGTGCACTGATGAAGTTCTTTCCGTCGTGCTGTGCAATGCGCAGATCAGCTGCAGTCCACTGCTGATGACAACGATCCACAAGTCCACAGTAACGACACGGTGTGCGAGGCAAAACATTGATATGACTTTGTCTTTCATCGGAACGTTAAAATAATGGCTGCAAAAGACCGCAGTTCTTCTAAGTAATGTAGTCTCACCTTTTTTTCTGACTCTCACCTTTATACCTAGGAGCGTTGATACGGTATAAATTTCATACATTTTATTTTACTTAAAAGTCAGTTTTATTTCTTAATTAGAAGTAGAAAGGAAGGGTAGTCGGAGATCTTAGCAATACCTGACTTTCAGGCAAAAAAGCATATAGTCTGTACGTGATGGGAAATTGATGAAACAGGTTGAAAATACCGTGCAATTAAAAAAATGTGATTGCACCTTCAGGGCAAAACTAAAACAATGTAGGATGTACAAACCCACTCAATATTGTCTATCCATAGAATCAAATTGGCACATTTTTAAAAAGAACATAGAAGATTTCTAGGCTTAAGTGTAACTTGCACAAAAAATGTAAAGTCTAAAGGTTTTACTTAACCTTTTTCCTCTCCCCTCCCCCCCCAAGGCTTTGCTGTGAGTCTTCAAGTGATTCTGTCGCATCCGAAAGCCGTATTCAAGCGTCGTGGTTCCCAACCGGGAATGCAAGAATCTGATTTTCTGAAACAGATAACAACAGTGGAGGAGCTGGAGCCAAAAGCAAACAACTGCACAAAGGTACCGGCTTCCACACTCACTAAAAACTTTCGCATCATCTCTGTAGATGACCGCACTAACGCAAACGTTATTTTATAGGTTCTTGTATGGCACACACGAACAGAAAAAGTAAATCTAGCTAATGAGCCAAAATACCACCTGGACACGGTCAATATTGAGGTATGACGTGGAGACACAGTAACATGGGACGTACAGTACAGTGGGTGTGTCAGAAGGTGTGCGAATTCAGCCAGCTAAAATAGCCTACTTCTGCGCCAGACCTTTTAATAGACACCTGACGGACTTCTGTGGAAACAAAAGGAAGTTGTCAGATACTCTAATAAGCAAATCCCAGTGGTTGTGCTTTGTTCTAACTTGTTTGCATGCGTTTCTGACCTCTTGTCTTAACAAACTGACACTCACCTTTGTTTTAAGGCTGTTCCCACGTAGTAAAATCAATCAAGAGAAACATGGCTTCGATGGAGTACTTTCAAAATCATCATTTCTGTATATACTTTTTGTATTTATCCAGCTTAATGGTGTAATTATAAACTGATTTTAACTCACACACTGTTGATCTAAATATTCGCATAAATGGATCCTCGGAATTGAACATGTTTTCCTTCATTAAAAGTAGACTTCTTGAAGAAACAGCGGTCAAATAGGTCATACAGTAATGAAATAAAAAACCCACAACCATTTTTGGATTTATCCTTTTAATATAGGGAAATAACATTTTATCATTACGAGGCACCATAAAATGTAAACACAATCACTGTCATAAACCTGGATATCTCTGCAAGGGGGAACACATCTGCCCACGCCGAGTCGCCGTGCGTACGAACTGTGCCGCTGGTTCTCAGCGTTAATACTGCGTGCGTGCCTCGTGAGCCAGGCCGGATACTTCATCACGGGAAACTCAAATGGATCAAATGCTCATTTTTAAAAGAATAAACTATTGATTTGTAGAACTACAGCAACATCCAGGTTTATCTTCCTTTCAATAACCGTATTCCCTGTTATGCACACCATAGTAACATCACAGTGAAATGTATGATGAAACAGAATTTGTTTGGTACACTAGAAAACATTGCTCAGTGATACATTTACATTCTATTTATATATGATTAAACATTTGTTCATACAGTACCTTCTACAGGATTACTGGGTAGTTTTGGGGGGTCAGGGTTCGTATTTTTGGATATTACTAACATGATAGCTACATCCCTTATATGCAAACATTTCATCTAGAATTTTGAGGGAAAAAAAATCAGTTATGTGGTTAAGCAGCTTCTTAAATATACGGTCTGTGAAATCATATGCACTGTATGAAAACGCTGCCGATGACGTATAAATGTATTCTTGATCTGCTTTTCACTACATCAAATTTAAATCAATAGAGACCACGACACGGTCAGTCAGTTAAATTCTTAATCTGAACAGCTGGGGAAAAAGAAAAAGAATGTATGTACATGGAAGGAACAGCGAAAGTAAATGCAATTTGAAGGAGGAATGTTAGGTGGCTGTTCTGGGTGAGACTTCTCTTGCAACCCTCACTTCCACAGCTGCGTGCTGAGCGTCTGACCGGAAGAGCTCCCCGTCCATCCCGCCGCCGTGCTGGGGGGCTGGCCAAAGCCCATCGCTGCGCCGGAACTGCTGAGATTCATTCCAGCCATTTGCTGATTCATCTGTGAAGCACAGGCGTGAGCCTAGTTAGCACTGGTGCCAAAACACAACGCGCTGCTCGCCAGAAAGCAGTCATGCCTCCGACTAGCCCCCCCTGAAAGTACACCTCCCTGAAATTAGTATTTCTCGTTGAATGCAAACATTGGCTCACTCCAAGTGCCTAAGCATTTTCAAGACAGCAGCTTTCCTGGAACCGCTCGACCGCCGTCGCGCGCCAGCTGACCGGCTGTAGCGCTCGGCGTGTGTGTTGAGTCCGTACACACACAGAGCGTGTGACAGAGGAGGCCAATGTGTCTCACTTGGTAAGAGTTTGCTTTCAAAGTTTCAAAGGCAACCAACAAAATTGTGGCAACTGCCGTAAAGAAACACCAAAGCAAGAGTGATACAGCCTTGTCTGCATTTGCAGCTCCAGATGGGTTTTTTCCAGCAATATTTCTTTGGAGACCTCAAAGTTTTGAATACAAAACTTTGTACAGAAATCGGCCATTTTGGTGGCAATCAACAAAGGATGAGGCAGATTTTATAGACGAGTATTATCTAAATCTAACTGTTCTTGCTGAAGAATCTACTCGAGATACCCTAATTTCCTAGAAACAAGTGAAATAATTCACGACATTGAAGATGACATCTAGTTAGAGGCGGGAAGGAGTTCAAAATTCAGCACATTCACTTCAGGAACAGTGCAAAAATATTTCTGCTCTCTACAAATACTATCTAGGCACTGTAATTTTCAGCACTCAGCGTGAAAACATTCTTCAGGTTACTCTCCCTCCCCTTCTAAAAAATGAACACTTGTGGACAAGGCAACAACCCAGCTGTGTAGACAGAGTAAAGACGTCCCCTCTCATTGCTTGGGGACGAGTGGCTGTAAAGCTGCTTGGCAGAGTGGGACCTGGGGGTACTGGTTGACAGCCAGCTGAATATGAGCCAGCAGTGTGCCCATGTGGCCAAGAGGGCCAACAGCATCCTGGCTTGGATCGGGAATAGTGTGGCCAGCAGGAGCAGGGCAGTGATCGTGGCCCTGTACTCAGCACTGGCGAGGCTGCACCTCGAATGCTGTGTTCAGTTTTGGGCCCCTCACTACAGGAGAGACCTTGAGGTGCTGGGACATGTCCAACGGAGAGCAACCAAGCTGGTGAGGGGTCTAGAGCACAAGTCTTATAAGGAGCGGCTGAGGGAACTGGGGTTGTTTAGCCAGGAGAAAAGGAGGCTGAGGGGAGACCTCATTGCCCTCTACAACTGCCTGACAGGAGGCTGTAGTGAGGTGGGGGTTGGTCTCTTCTCCCAGGTAACGGGCGACAGGACAAGAGGAAATGGCCTCAGGTTGTGCCAGGGGAGGTTTTGATTGGACATTAGGAAAAATTTCTTCACTGAAAGTGTTGTCAGGCACTGGCACGGGCTGCCCAGGGACATGGTTGAGTCCCCACCCCTGGAGGTGTTTAAAAGACAGGTAGACAAGGTGCTTAGGGACATGGTTTAGTGGTGGGATGGCAGGGTGAGGTTAACGGTTAGACTTGATGATCTTAAAGGTCTTTTCCAATCTAAATGATTCTCTGAGTTTAAAAGCAAAAGAGCATTTGGAGCAATTAATAATCGGAGCCGATTAGTAGGGATGTTGGATAAGCAACATTAGCTTCAAGCTAGAGACAGCATTAGGTAAAAACCAGAGTTCATGTAAACATGAGCGAACAATACCGTGTTGCCAAATCAAACTGGAACACTGCTGAGAAAAATTTAAGTCAATTGCAAACGAGTATTTCAGGGTAAAATTCAGAGCTGTGTGCTTTCACACATGCATCCGCAAAATGAACCCATCGCTGAACATGGAAATTTAAAAAAAGCCGATGAGAAGCGTGCTTTACCTAGCTGCTGAACACTTCTGGGGTGGAATTCTTGACAAGTAGACTACACAAAGCGTGCTATTCCCGTAAGTAAAGCAAGCTCTCCCCCTTTCAACTGGCGCCAGAGATTAGGTCACAGTTCCCCTACAGACTGTGCAAGGTCAGCACTCTGATAGCGCCTGATGGGCAAGCAGTACAGAAACACGTTAGGAGCTTGTTCTGTGAGCCAGCTTTTAATGTACATTTCAGAACAAGCATGATTTTAATTTCAAAGCTGATACGGGTCCTTTTGCGGTTAAGATACCTAGGAAAAGACTTAGCAGTAAATCCACGGGTTTTTTCCGTTTGACATTTTGAAATTCTCACCTGTTAAAAATTCCTTTTCAAAGCAGAATGGCAGTCTGCACTTTCAACCTGGGGCTGTTAGATCCGTGTAAGAAATGCTGCTTACCCATGTAAACGTTCACGCTGCAGGACTCAGCAGAACAGTAAAAATTTATATAATCCAATCTAAGCAAGTCACGGAGGTTCACTGAACTACTAGAGTAAGCAGCATGGAATTGTTCTTAGAATTCAAACAATAGCATGGAAAAAATAGTTGCCATTGTCCACACGGAACGCCAAAGGCATCATTTAGGTTTGTTTCCCGCCCCGCC